GCGGTCGTGAGTGGCCGCCCCGAGTCACCCCGAGGTGGTGGAGCAGATATGGCGTATGTTCGGCCGAGCTCAGGTGGATCTGTTTGTGATGCAGGAGACGTCGCACTGTCCCCTTTGGTTCTCTCTGACTCATCCAGCTCCCCTGGGACTGGATGCTATGGTACAGACGTGGCCAAGGCTGCGAGTTCTGGAGAGAGTGTGCCGGGACGGGGTCTGTCTGCTGCTAGTAGCCCCGTTCTGGCCGGGCCGAGTATGGTTCTCGGACCTGATCTCCCTTCTCGACGGCTCTCCATGGGAGATTCCCGTCAGGAGGGACCCCCTCTCACAGGCGGGGGGCGACATCCTTCACCCCTGCCCAGAGCTGTGGAAGCTGTGGGTGTGGCCTCTGAGGGGGCACAACTCAGAGCTTCCGGTCTCTCAGCCGAGGTTGTTGAGACCATCCTCCAGTCCAGAGCTCCCTCTACGAGTAAACTGTACGCCCTGAAGTGGAAACTTTTCACTTCCTGGTGCGGAGACCACTGGCTCGACCCTGTTCACTGCCCACTTGGTACAGTGCTGGAGTTCCTGCAGGCCCGTCTCTCCGCAGGGCTGACCCACTCCACCCTGAAGGTCTACGTGGCGGCTATTGCGGCCTATCACTCGCCCCTCGGTGGTCAATCAGTGGGCAGGCACCCCCTAGTTACACGTTTCCTCCGCGGTGCGCTGAGGCTCAGACCTCCAGTACGATCTCGTGTCCCCCTGTGGTATCTGGCCGTGGTCTTAGAGGCTCTCTGTAACCCCCCCTTTGAACCTATAGAGGAGATTTCGGACCGTCTTTTGACATTGAAAACTGCCTTTCTCTTGGCTATTTCCTCTCTTAGGAGGCCTCCTCTTATTTAGACTTTGCGCCCGGTTTGGCCAAAGCGGTACGTATCCAGTGTGAGCACTGGATGCGTACATCCAAAGAACTGCCCTGTGGAGGAGGGTGGACCAATTGTTTGCATGCTTTGGTCCCCCTAAGAGGGGTCTTCCTGCTACTAAGCAGACCCTCAGCTGGTGGATCGTGGAGGCCACATCCCTGGCTTATGAGTCCTCTGGTCTCCCCTCGCCCTTGGGGGTCAAGGCTCACTCGACCCGAGGTGTGGCGGCCTCTAAGGCCTTCCTGGCAGGTGTGTCCATGCAGGACATCTGCAACGCGGCGGGCTGGTCCACACCCCTGACCTTTGCCAGATTCTATGGCCTGGATATGCGAGCCACTTCTGGCTCTTCTGTCCTTTTGTCTTAGCTGTGGCTTTCCACACTGGGCAGGGATTTGTAAGTCCGGCGGCATGGGCATACTCATTCCCATAGCGTTTCGACGCAGCTCGAGTTCCTGAAGGGGAACGTCTCCAGGTAACACATGTAACCATGGTTCCCCGAAGGGAACGAGACGCTGCATCTCAGTGCCACACTTCCGGCATCCCTGCCGTGCTTGCCTCATTCTCGTAGCTAGCGCGGCGCATGCCGCTCGGGCTTTTATGCTTCCGGGTTGTTACGTCACCCCGCCCGTGACGTCTCGCCCATCCATTGGACTGATTACACATGTGATTCAGAGTGCGGTCACGCTGAAGGCGTTCCCATAGCGTTTCGACGCAGCGTCTCGTTCCCTTCGGGGAACCATGGTTACATGCGTAACCTGGAGACGTTTCTTACAAACATTTAAATCACATTCTAAAATTTATAGCTACATAAAAACTCACAATCATTTCTGTATGTAATATTTGGTGATAAAGAGATAATCTGATCTGTGTGTGTGTGTGTGTGTGTACCTCAGTATCTCCAGTGTACAGCGTGGATTCTCCAGTCCAGCAGAGAGCAGCTTCACTCCTGAATCCTGCAGTTTATTTCTACTCAGGTTCAGTTCTCTCAGACTGGAGGAGTTTGAGCTGAGAACTGAGGACAGAACTCTACAGCTTTCCTCTTTCAGATTACACCCACACAGCCTGGAAGAGAAATGATGAAATATCAGAACACTGATCTCAAACACACAAACACAGCCATAAAACAGCTAAAGTTGAACATGTAACAGAAATGTCAGTGTGTTTCTCTCACACACAGAAATCAGAGGACAGGAGACCACATCAGCACATTTACAGGAGCAGGGATGTCTTTCTGCACTCCACAATCTCTCAGCTCCAATTTATTATAAGACCATTAGGTCATGTACATAAAACACATATGTGAGAGCGAGCAGCCTGTAAACAATACACTCTGATCTGTGTTCAAGTTTCTACAACCAACACTGCAGATATAGTACATTTTATTACAGAAAATAAAGAATTATAGAACTGTACACTACCAGTTAATAACAAGCCAGTACTAGTGGTACTCTACAGTGAGTTAGTGGCAGGTGGAGGTGTGGGGAAACTCCAGGTCTCAGACTACAGGGTCGTGTACACAGAACAGTCAATGACTAAATCCACCGCCATGAATCAACAACAGCGAACACAGTCTCGTTACCTGCAGCACAATGACGTCAGGAACCAGGAAGTCCGTAAAATCCGAAGGACAGAACAAGATCGAAGCTAATTAACAAACCAGGTCTGAGCGGATACACCCACAGAGAAATAAATCCAATGAAATCTTTCCAATAATTCTGAGACAGACACACAATAATCCAGTGCTGTGTAGCTTATTTATACAGGTAACAGTCAGTGGGGAAATGGGGAACAGGTGTGCTCGCGCTTCCACACAGCAGATGTGGATGCGGGATGAAAACTCCGGCTGGAATGCGGAAGTGCAGGTGTGGTGTCA